TGTCAGGCTCAACCCATCTGTTTCTCTTCTCTTAGGGATCACTGCCTTCCTTGCTCAGTGTCCAGTGTTCTGAAAACCGTTGTTTTATTCATTTGTCCAGTTGTTTGTTTGAGATGGTAGATTCAATTACTCTTTCACCATCTTGACCAGAAGAAGTCCCTGACCTATAGCAATAGCCCCTTGATTGACAACCTCCCCCCGACCCAGCCATTGTCATTGGCATGCTGAGTTTTAAATTTAATCAGTATTGTGTATTATGCTCCATTTCCAAAAAGTTCCATTTGATTGTTTTTCAAATCTACTTAACATTTTGATAGCCTCTTGCACTTTACTCTTATTTTCAATCTTTCTTTTCTTGTTGAAATCACACACGATATTTTGTATCTATCAATGCCAATATAAGAAGTCTTGCCATATCTGACTCTGCTTCATGTATTAACTCTCATTTATGATCACTTGTTTTCTTGTTTGGGTTGACATTTTTGACTGTGAGTTGATATTTTTGAAACTTTGAGACTTAGTTAAAGGTGGATTTCTTCAATAAATATTTGTTTTGCTTCTGCTAGGTGCTTGAGGGCACTTGCTGGACACCACTTTATATGAAATTCTCGGCTTTAGGTTTCTTCTGGTCATCTACGTAGTGTGAATTCAGATTACAAACCCATGAGAAGGTTGTCATACTGTTGTAAAGTTAACAAGAGAAACATTTCGCCCTTCACTCAGTAATAAGATTTGAGCAGGAAGGTTTTTTTGTTTTGTTGTTTTTTAATGTTCCCTGGATAGGTGGTGGGAGTAGGGAGTATTTATTTCTAATTTGCCCATATACTCAGAGTCAAACCTTCTGAAATCTCAGCTTGAAGCAGAAACAGAGGATGGATCCTCCACATGGCTCTCACTGAGGTAAATTCTGGGCTCTGCACCCATAAGAACATGAAAACGGAGGCTCCAACTCACATGCTTTGGCAAACCCCTCACAGTGAAAGCAGTCTTACCCTCACAGGTTTCCATTTTCATTAGGATTTTTGCTTTTAACTATTTCTTACCTTTTAATAAGAACATCAATACATTTAACTATTTTAAAATAATTTTTACATTTTAATGTGTATTTTTAATTTTAAAATAGAATTCTTACGTTTTGCCTTGCTTTTGATTTCTTTGTCATTAAGAAGTTATATATTTTGATATAGTCAGATGGAACAGTCTTTTAAAAATTAGTATTACTTTTGGGTCTTATCTAAAACAACATTTTTTTTTTCTGTCAATCTCCCAGGCCATAAATATAAAAATATATTCTTTTATGTTTTCTTCTTATATAGATGTATACACTCATATATAGAATTCATATTTAGAGAAGGATTTGTTTTTATTTATATAAATGAACTATAGGTCAAATATGGTTTTTTATTTGTTTCAGTATGCTCTCATGAGCTAGTCATTATATATAATTTTTAAGAGATGGGATCTTAGTATGTTGCCAAGACTGGAGTACAGTGCTATTCACAGGCATCATTAAAGGGCACTGCAGCCTCGATCTCCTGACTTTAAGTAATCCTCTTGACCCAGCCTCCTGAGTAACTGGGACTGCAGGTGTGCACCACTGTGCAAAGGCTATGTATATCTATAAAAGAAGAATATGTGTGATTGCATGTGGCCTGAAAAGCCTAAAATATTTATTTTCTGGGTCTTTACATAAAAGTCATGCAGATCCCCGCATTAATCCACTTTCCCCCACTTATTTGCTATTTTTTAGCTTCCAATTTATACTTGAAGTTTATTTCAGGGTCTTCCATTCTGTTTCATTCATCTCTTTGTTTTTTGCCAACTCCAAATACCACATTGTAATAAAAATGGCTGTTTTCATTAACAAAAGGAGAGGGGTTAGAAAATGCAGCCTCCATTTTCAGAGTGGAAATGGAAAAACATCAAAAATTCATACTCAGATGTCTAATTGCCCTGACATTAACTAGAGGCATAGAGATTCAGCATGCTCACAAAATCTATCTCTGCCTTGCCCAAAGCGAGTGCTGGACCATGGAATTGGATTTTATTGACTAATTTTTAACTGTGTACAGTGCTGTCTGAAGCATGTACCACTCAGAGACTTGTTCTAGGAAGCTTCCAACAAATGGTACGATGAATTGCGAGGTCCCAAGAGAATGGAAATGAACAAGGAGGAGATTGCAGGTTGTACCAGAGAAGGGCACTCTAAACCCTAAGACATACATACATTCGTCATTGAAGGGGCCATCAGAGGAGAAAAACCCCAGGGCTCTGAGAATGTAATTCTATTAGCAGAGAGTAGCTTTCCTTATTTAGTGGATGTTTATCTGTCTGTTCACTTTAATCATGGCACAACTTACTTATTCAATGAGATAACACCTTCAGTAATGAGAGTCTCTGAAGTGAGGTAAAGACACAACCTACATATGTGGCCCTGAGCTCATGTGGCCTCTGCTACATGTGGCTGAGACCCTTTATTACTTTGACAACCCACACCACCTCCATCCACTTTTCTTTGTGCTGTTCTTTCCTACAACATCAAAAGAGGAAAGTGAGAGAAATCATATGTCAGACTGCACGGTTTCTTCCCAGAATCTGTGTAGAGCAGCCTGCGCCCACTAACAAAACTCTCTCCTTCAGTCTACCTTCCCTCCTCAGACTGACTGTGAGGTAAGGGAGTATGTCACCCTCGCAGCCCAGGACAGACATGCAGCTCGGGTACGGCTCTTTGGACGGGGCTCCATAACACCTGTCACACCTTGAAGGGCCTTGCACACCTGGGAATGGAGATGAGCTGGCAGAGTCTGCCTGACCCAGGACGATGTTCCCAGGATGCTGCTGTTTCGGAGGGGAATGCACACAGAACATTCCAGGTGAACCAAGAGAGAAAGAAGTAGACCTTGCCCGGGCTGAACAAAAGATCGCTTTGAAGACATGGCCAAGGTTCACTTGGGCTCTTCTCAAGGGCAAAAAATTTCAGAGTCCACCTTGGTGAGACCTGAATTCAGGGAGTGTGACTCTCTGAGCTATTTTGATGGAGTAGTGGTCCTCGCATGTGCGTTTTCTAAAAGTAAAACCTCCCTGCAGTTCCAACTATGCCATTCTTAACACCTGTAAGCTAGTGGCAGTCATCTACTAACTCATGGGCAAAAGTGACCCATAGCGGGTAGCAGAGGAATTCTCTCCACATGCCCCCTTTGTCTCTGCACGTTGAAACTGCTCTCTACCCAAGCCCTGTGGGAGCCCCGCTGGGTTCAGGGGTTTGTGATTAGGAACAGCAGTCTCCCCACGCTGGCTCATATAGTACTTACAGGATTCTGTGGTCTTGACAAACAGGGATGACATCTTCTAAGAAAAATGCAGGACCCCCTGGGGAATGCCAGCTAATGCCCAGGCCAGGAGGCAACAGTGGATGAGGAAGCTCTCCCAAACATAGAGGCCAGACAAGATGAACAAAAAGTCACTTTCTCATGATTGCTGTCAGGAAAAACCAGCACCCCAGAGGATACCACATTCTGCAGATCTTATTTAGAATTCTGCTGGCAGCCCAGTGATTATGGGACTGCGACTGGCTCTTGGCAGTGGCTCAGGCAAATGAGGAAGGAAAGCAGTCACACAGGGCACCTCACCTTCCTCCCTAGCTGGTTCTGAGGAGTACCGTGGAGAGTGATTGCAAACGGAGGCTTGGAAAGGGAAAGGATTTTATTTGTGCCTTGGCCAGGCAGCTAGAAGCAGTGCAAAGACCTTGTAAAAGAGCTTAAGGCATGCTGCAGGGTGCTGCATCTTAGTTCTTTCATCTGTGTTATGCAGGTGCTAGATTCGATCTATGGTCTGTTTCTAGTTACACATTTCTATCAGTAAAAAATTTTAGCCAGGCATGGTGGCTCATGCCTGTTATTCCAGCATTTTGGGAAGCTAAGGTGGGAGAATTATTTGAAGTCAGGAGTTGGAGACCAGCCTGGGCAACATCGTAAGACCTTGCCTCTAGAAAGAAAGAGAGAAAGAGAGAAAAGAAAGAAAAGAAAAGAAAAAAAGAGAGAGAAAAAAAATTAGCTTTAGCTGGGTGTGATGGCACCTTGTAGTCTTAGCTACTCAGAAGACTGAGGCGAGAGGGTCACTTGAACCCAGAAGTTGGATGCTGCAGTGAGCTATGATCACGCTACTGCACTCTAGCCTGGGTGACAGAGCAAGACATCGTTTTAAAATAATTTTTTTGAGCCTGCACCCTAATAAATGTATATATGTTCTTTCACAAATTATACATATGTTGGACTCCAATGTTGTTTTGTGCACATTGCAAAGGGTGGGCAACAATGGAAATAAGAAAGTCTAGATGAAAACAAATGTAAATAGAAGCTCTAGTAATTTTCTTGCTCTCCCTTTGTTGAGCCTTCTCCCCAAACAATACTTTGTTTTAGAGACACATAGATCACATGATCTGGTAGGGCCTCTCCAGATGAAAAGCCCATGAAAAATGCAGTCTAATATGTTGGTCACTGTCCACACGTGGTTATTTAAATACTCTAAAATGAAATAAAATTTTAAACAGTGGTTCAGACACACTAACGACATTTCCAATGCTCAATAGCCACATGTTGTCAGTGGTTACTGTATTGGTCAACGCAGCTCATAGAACATTTCCATCATTGCAGAAAGTTCTATTGCACAATGTATTTAGCAAGTACTCAGTACCATGAAATTCACTATTTAATTGCAGCAGCTAACCTTGACTAAGCACTTTTGGTAGCTATGCATCGTGCAGTGTGTTTTATCAGCATTATCTCACTACAGCAACCTTTGGAGTTGGGCACTATTGTTACCCCCATGTCAAAGGAGTGGGGAGAGGAATGGGATGTAGAGGGACCAGGAGTCACTCAAGGTGACCAGCTAGTTAGAGGTTGAGCCCTGTGTTCTCCCAGACAGCTCACAGGGGCTTCTCAGATGTTTGTGGCATGTGTTTTCAAGACTGGCCACTGCCCATGTGCTTCTCTGTCTCATAGGTATAAAGGGAGTTTCTTGCAAAGCCGCATTCAGCTGAGAGCCAGCAGACTTCGCAAGCCAACCTGGGTGCCCAGAAGAAGGTACCCTCCTCCCCAACCCAAGGGGCTGGACCCAGGCAGGACCTGTGGACAGGCTTCTTCAGAAACGGCAGGTAATTTTCTCCTTGGAGGTGAGTCCAGACTGGGCATGTGAATGCACCCTACCACAGCATAGACACTGGGGTCAAGAGCCAGCCCCATATCCAGTAGGGTCAGGTGCACTAAGACAGTGCCAAGGCATGACATTTGTGAGGTGATCAGAGTGACTCTAAACTAGTGGGAAAGGCATGGGGGAGAAGATGGGGAATTTAGTATTGGGAAGACAGCAGACACCCCTGAGTATGGGGGTCAGTCCCCGTGGGAGGGGCAGCTTCCCCCCAAGATCCAGGGAAGCAAGAATCAGAATGTATGGTGCCTCACCTTCACTGTCTCCACAGAGGAAGTGGCTTGGCCCTTTCTGTCGGGCCGCTGTGAGGCCAAGGTGGGCTAGTGACTGGGCATGACAGCCGGCAGGAAGCAGAAACATGAGCAGTTATGAAGCTGCAGTAAGTGGCTTACCGGTGAAACTGCAGTAAGTGGCTTACCGGTGAAATGTTCCTTGCCATGCTTGAAAATGCACAAGGATTGCACTTGAGGGGTGTGCTGCTTCCTGCAAAATGGCTATTTTAAGCTGCACGTACTGGGCCACCAGGGCAAATCGCGTCACCTCTAGGGACCCCAGTGTCCCCTGCTCTCCCTCTCCCTTCTACCCGGTAGTCATGAGCATGGCCTCAGTGAAGCATGGCCTCAGTGTTCCTTGCAAGGTGTTGACTGGGGAAAATGAAGACCTCCTGTGATGGAATTACCCTCCTTTTGTTGCTGAGGTATGTCTGTTGGCTCATGGGCCGACCCTGGACTCTGCCTGAAGCCTGGGGTTGGTCCCGGGGGACCCTGGGCTTGGGTCTCTCCTCCATCTTTGTATGGCTCCTGCGCCCCCTACAGGCAGGTGGCACCTGAGTGCCTTCTCCCTCCCTAAGCCCTCTAGGGTAGGCAAGGTCAAGAACTGGTCTTGCTCCTCAGAGAGTTTAAACCAAGATACAGATGGGATCTTATAGTTGGGTGGCCAGTTGTAGAAGAAAATAGATTGTTTTTGTGAGGTGACATCAAGAGTCAAGCCCCGTGTGCAAGAGGCTGAGATGAAGGGGATGGATGGGCAGACATCCCACCAGGGAACTGAGCTTTCTCTTCCTTCAACTTCTCTGACTCTCCTCCTTCTTCCCTCTCCTCCTCATCTGGTGGAGCAGCTATTGGGTTGTCTTGATGATACCACACCCCATGGAGGGCACCTCAGGGCTAAATGAGGGTCTGCACCACCAGGACACCAGAGAGGGTTTCCCATAAAAAGGGCCGGAGGATACCTGACTGGTCTGCTTGATCATGGGGCCTTCCCATGACAGAGGCAGGTAGCATCAATGACGCCTCTGTATTCTCCTGGCTTTCTGTGCGTGCCCCTCCTCTCTCCTTGAAAGCTCCCCCAAAGTACAGCCTGCAGTCAGGAATCCAGGTCTAGCCTGCCACCCTCTAAAGTACAGGACATGACTCAGGGCACCTGGAAGGCACATAATGCAGGGGGCGGGGGGCGGTGTGACTTCTAGCAGCCCCTGGGATTCTCAGAACTTACTGGCTTCTTGTTGCTTGTTCCACGGACCCTGCCTTCCCTTTTGCCCCCACCAGGTCCAGTTCTTGAATTTTCCCCTACATTGGGGTGGAACTCCCATGGAACCTCTGTGAGGCAGAGCACTGACAGTCTTGCTGTTGCAGTCAGGAGGTTCCCACCGGCCACTGATGGAGCCTAGCGCAACCAACCAGAACTCTTCCAGTTGTCCCATGTGGGGAGCTTTCCCACCTACTTTCCTTCCAACACTTTAAAGATGGTTGAATCAAGCAGTTTCTGGGGACTTCTGTCAGCCTCTCTGTTTATGAACAGATCCCAGTTGTGTACTAACACTAAAGAGAAGGGGGAAAGAGAAGAATCTTGGCTCTCAATAAATGTGGTGGAGGGTGGAGATAGACGGACAGACTGACCAACTGTCCACTCTTTGCTCAAATCCCACAGAGAGTGACTTTGGAGGTCATTTTGCCTCCCTGTGAATTTCCTGTTTGACCACCTAGGATGCGGATGCTCTGACTTGTGGACCCAATGGTTTGATGCAAGGCCCCAGGGAGCCACTCTGTGCAGTGATGCTTTGCAGACTCTGTACAGATGACCGACTGTTACCAGACACTCAGCATGATAAACGCATGTGCATGAAAGTTGGTACACGCTGTGTGCCAATGGCCATTGACACATGGTGATGAATGTTTTTGTTGTTTGGTGGAGCACAAGGCCATCTTATTTGTGTTGGGGGAGGAATGCAAAGGGAGGTTTCCCTGGAGAGACAGGGCTTCTTCTGGAAATGTGGGTATAGGGAGAACAGACAGAGACTTTCTGGACTGGAGATTGAATGGGTAAAGTCTCAGGGCCAGTAAAGGGGATGTGGAGAGGGTCGATTGAATGCAGATGGGCTGGGGTGCAGGCTGGGCCTCCAAGGAGGATGGAGGACAGTCACTGAGACTGTGTCTCCACTTGGGTGCCATCTGAATTCATTTTTTAGGGTTGCTGTATGAAATTACCACAAGCATGGTGGTTTCAAACAATAAAAATGGATTCTTTCACTGTTCTGGCGGTTGAGTGTTTCACACTCCCTCTGAAGGTCTGAGGAGGATCCCTCCTGGCCTGATCCAGTTTGGTGCCTCCAGGTATCCTTGGCTTGTGGTCTCATCATTCCAATCTCTGCCTCTGTCTGTACTTCTCCCTGTGTCACTGTGGGTCAAATCTTCCTTGCCTTTCTCTTCTAAGGACATTTGTCATTGAATTTAGGGGCCTCATTGAATCTGGGATTGTCTCATCTTGAGATCCTTAATTTAATTACTTCTGCTAAGACCCATTTTCCAAGTAAGTTTACACCCATTCACAGGTTCCATGGATTAGGACTTGAGGGCCACTATTCAACCATCTTTATCATTTTTCCACTATCTGCAACCCAACAGAAATGATCTTAAAATGTGTTTTTAAACAAAAAAAGGAGGGATATACATGGACATTCAGTGTACAATAGTGCATATCATTTGGGCTCTCATTGTTTGTAAACAGGTTTTGGAAGAAAGTCCTAGTATAAACCTTATACAATGAAAAAAGAATCACCCCAATCACCACCAGCAGGACATGTCACCCTTTGGGGAACAGTTGTCCAAGTGATCACAGGTAGCCTCAATCCTAATGGCTATGAGACTCACTGGGTTTCTTGTAGGAAGAAGGCCCAGGGGCAGGTTGGAGGGACCTGGTCAGGGCCTCCATGTACGTGGGTTGCGTCACTTGGAGCTGAAATCCACTTGCAGTCGGCCTGTCCAGCCTCACACTCTGGTCCTGACTGCCCTGACGATGGGACTGTAGCAGCCCGCACAGGGCAGGGCCACCTGCTCCCCTCTCCTCCTGCACACAGGGTGCCTTTCCACACACCCTCCCATGGAAGTGGGTATGTCTTCCCCAGGCCCCAGTGTGAGTAGAGAGACCGATTGAAAAGCCTGTGACGTTCATTCTCCTTTTCACCTCTTCTTCCCCCTCCCCCTTTTACAATAATAGAAGTGTTTTAGATCATATTATTTTTTTTTTTTTTTTTTTTTGAGTTGGAGTCTCACTCAGTCGCCCAGACTGGAGTGCAGTGGCTGCTCCCAGCCACCGCAGCCTCGACCTGCTGGGCTCCGGCGATCCTTCCGCCTCAGCCTTCCGAGTAGCCAGAATTACAGGCACGCGCTACCACGCCCGGCTGATTTTTTTATTTACTGTAGAGATGAGGTCTCGCTGCCCAGGTGGGTCTCGAACCCGCGGGCTCAGGCAATCCACTCACCTCAGCCTCCCAAAGGCGCGGGATTACAGGCTGAGCCACCGAGCCCGGCTAGATCATATTATTTATTATTGATTATTCTTGAGGTGATTACTACATGTCTTTATTACTCAATGTTTTGAATGGCTGCAGAATTTCTAAATTTTTAAATTTATTTTTAATTTTGAATTCAGGGGTACAATGTACAGGTTTGTTACTTGGATATGTTGCATTATGGTGAGTTTGGGGGTCCTTTATGTCACCCAAAGAGTGAACATGGGTACTCAACAGGTAGTTTTTCAACCCATGCGCCCTTCCTCCCTCTCCCCTTTAGGGGTCGAATCTGGGATTGTCACATCTCATCTTAATGTCGGTGTGTACCATCTCCCACTTAAGGCATCTCTCAGCCTTAGGAAAGGGCCCTGCATGCAACCATAGGCAATGGCAGGAGCCCCAGAGGTTCTGAAGCTTTCTCTACTTGGGGAAATTCACTTGTAGGCATGTCTTGTCTCAACATCAGCATTTCATTACTTTTCTTCACATCAAAATCCCAAGAGCAAACTGGGGGCACCAGTGAATGGTGAATAAAAACAGATCGAAATAGGAAAAAAAAAATCAGGAAAAGACCTGAGCATAGAGCTATAAAATGAAAGATGACCCACAACTCAAATTTCCATGGAGAACTCAGCCCCCTACCCCCACCCACGTGGGTTGTAATGCCCAGCAACAACCTGGGGTGGTGACAAATGTCTATGCTTTCATGTTCATTACTTGAGCAGTAAGTAGAGTCCCTGGGCTTGGGTCCCTCATGTCTATTTTCAAAGGCTGTCCTCTCTAGCAGTTAGGAAGAACACAGAGGATGTCCACCTCAGGGCAGATGTGCACCTGCAGGGCATGGGGGAAGTAGTGGCCCAGGAAATATCAATCACCACCTACTACTTATTGAAGTGTCAGGGAGGGATGCGAAAAGGCAGGCAAGGCACGCTAGCAAGCGGGGGTGACAGATCATGATGGACACCGTCGAGGTGGAGGGTGGGAGAAGAGCATGAAAATAAATGCCACCTGGAAATCAAAGGGGCATGGGGATTTTATTACCAGCACTTGCCAATATCAATATTTCATAGCGGAGTGACAGGCACTCTGAGGGCACTGGATGTTGGAAGACAGAGTGCTATAACTTCAAAGCTGAGACTGATCATCATACATTTACA